AGTGTAGATGTCACTGAGCTAAAGAGACCAGGAGGTGTCCATGTGACTCCACAGAGCAGGGGTCCCGAGACAGAGGGGCTGTGCTTCGTTCTCGCACAGCTGCAGCTGATTAACGGGGAATGTGGGAAACCTGTGTCTGGGCATCCCAGGTTGAGGATCTGGTTGTTTGTGTAGCAGGAGAGTGTGTGTGTGTGGAGACTACACACTGAGCTGTGTTTCTTCTGAATCCTCACCTGAACTGCTGAGGTCTGTCAGCTGCAACAGAGCTGTGAAAAGCCAGGTTACACACAGAGGAGTGCAGCAGCTGAGTGACTGCTGCTGGTATGCCCACTCCGCAGGAAAGAATCGTATGAAAGCCTGTGGCTGATAACACTGATCCTCAAACTTCCTTCGCATCCTGTCCACCAGAGAGCCGGCGCTGAGTCCGAGCTACGAACAGCCGTCTGCAGTGGCCATCTTTTTAAGTTTGTCGTGGGTGTTTCATTTTTTTTTTCTATATGAGCATTATTTCTGCATTTCTGATCTTTTTTTTTTGTAGTTCTGCCCCCCTGAACACCCACACATACACAAAACAGATTTTTTTTTTAGCATCCCGCAGAAGCCGTTTTTTTTCTTCAGGGCTGTTGTGCCTTCTGCCGGTCAGTATGCTGTAGTGCAGCTATTTCAGTTCGTGTAGGGTAACCGTGACTCGCTCTCTCTGGACAGGCGCGGCGGCAGCAGGACCCCAGCCCCGGCTCCAACATGGGCGGCGGCGAAGACAGGACCTTGCGCTAAGCGCCCCCTGCTGTCCGGCTGTGAGAATGCAGGCGTTTCGGCCGGCTTTCAACTCGCCAGCGTCTGAGTGGAACAGGAGACCAAAGTCCAGGGGGCTGGAGGGGTGTTGCTGGTCCTTTGTCTGGCCGGGGGGGGGGGAGGGAGGGGGCAGGCTGGCTGAGACCTCTCCCCCAGGGGTTTGCACTATGTTTTAAGTTATATTACCCACCAATTTTCTATCGTATGCATGGAGCTTGTAACACCTCTTCTGCAGGTTTTTTAAAATTCTTTTGTTTCTTATGCAAGCTTATTATTTTAAGCATTATTTTAATAATGGCATTTGATTATTTTTTATTAACAGTTTGTGTGACAAGTCAGGATGTTTACTTTTTCTTTGTTTTATATATATATATGTAGGTCAAAAATTGTTCCTGGTTTATTGCGGGATTTCCGTGAAAAGAAAAAAAATCAGTTTTTAAAGAAAAAGGAAGAAAAATAACCTGCTGGTGAAGAACACTTCCTTGTGTTTTCTGAGTTTTTCACTTCTCGCGCTCTGTCTCCTTTTGCTGTCTGACTGAAGCGTGTGTGAAAATGCTTAAAGCAGAAACAGCAGCACAGATCCACATTAGTCACTGTAGCTCAGAGCATGCTCATTGCAAGACAAGTTCACCCCCTTCTCCTTTCTGGAGAGGCCTCACTCACTGTTCAACTGATCTGTCTTTAATCGCTCTGTGGAATCAGTGTTCGTGCGCACAGTGGCAGTGGATTTTTAAAAATCAAAAATGTTGCATTTCTGGCATTCCCAGCCCTGTTTAAAACTTTAAAGGATCAAGGATTTAGCACAAAGACCCTTTGGATACATTTGAAAAATGCACAGTATTTGGAAATCTGTATACCGAATAATTAGAGCTGGAATTTGGAAACTAAACTGCTGAAAACAAAGGTATAGCTTTATTAAATGTAGGTCAGCTCCTGTCTCTCATGTTGGAGATCTTGCCAAACTCTCGCGAGGCATGGAGGAGAGAGTAAGGCTGACATTCAGGAAGGGGAGATAACTGCTTATTCAGCTGGAATTACATTAAAGCCAAGCTGCACAGAGGCCACACCAGGAGAAAACTGAGCAAGCTGAGCAGCTTTGTAAAGGTCCAAGCTCCCCCTCAGTAAAGCTGCCAGGGGTGCTAAGAGTCGAGTTGACAGGGATCGGGTGAAAATGTCCAGCCTTCTTAGCCAACGGTTGCATTGTATCGTGTTTTGTGGCTTTTGCAAAGGCTTCCAATTTAAAATGTTATTTTGGAGCGAGGCCCTTGGAGATCGGCAGCAGGGGATGGTTTCTGTATTTTAAGGGAGGGGACTGTGATGTAATGTTGGAAGGAGCCACGAACGTGCTTGTGAGGGGGATGGGGGAGAGGGGGCGAGGGGGGGAGCGCAGGACCGGCGTGCAGGAGGAAAGGCAGGGGGAGATGGGTTGTGCGCCTGCGGAGTCCTCACCGTGCTTCTTTAGCACTGTTTTTACTTGCAGGGCTCTGACAGCAAAGACCCACAGGACTGGGTCTTGTTAGCAGCACAGCGCGTTTCTCTCGCAGCCTGTCCTTCTGTGTCTTTTTCTATGGATTTCAAACCATAATCTGGAAACGCCTGCGTCTTTTTTAAACTCCATTTAACGGACAGTCTGGGTCCGATTTATATTCAACCCACAAACCAAACTGTTGTTTTTTGCAATAGTGCTGTAGCATATATTATACACCAGAACTGTTTATGCAACCTACCTCCAGCTACTACCAAAAAGCGGATTTGGGTTTTATTATTTGGGTGTTTTTGCTGGTTGGTGTTTTTTTGTTGGAACGTGAAGAGCAGGCCTGGCTGAAGAGAGCCTGGGTTGACCTCTGACCTCTCCCATCAGTGATTGCTGACATGCCTGTGCTCTGCCCATGTCCCGTCTTAGTGCTGGCATTAAGATGAGGGTTCACTCCCTGCTGGTTAGCTTTCTTCTTTCCTTTTTTATTTTTTATTTACTTAATTCTGTTAAGTTATTGACACAAGTGGAGCCTTGTTTTCCATTCCTGGAATGAAGAAGTGGCAACTTGTTGTTTGTCCTTCAGGAGTTGCCTTAAGTGATGAAATTGCTTTTGCTGTCTTTTTTTGTTCTTGTATTATTACATCTGAAGTGTTTAATGTTTGTTTTTCCTTTTTTCTTAATAAACTTGTATCAAACAGACATGGCCTCTTGTTTGCTGTCATGTTATCCATACTTAAGCTCAAATGGAAAGGTGCTGAGGCTCCTTCAGGGCAGAGTGGGTCAGAGCGCCCTGAAGCTGCCCGAGCAGGAAATTGGCAAGAGTGGTCCAGCGTTACCAACTTGCCTCCGGCTCCTGGATGTCCGGAGCACCTCTGGTGGAGGTGACTTTGTTTTTGGAGGCTGTACCTACACCTGTGCTGGACTTGTCCAATCTCTGAGAAGCATCCAGGTGACAGTTGGGAGATCATGGGTTTCTCATGAAGCTTTTGATGACCCTTCACATGTAGGAAGTACTTGGAGAAAAAGCAAACAAAAGCCTGGATATGTGTGTCTGACTGACAGAGGTAATCCCAAAAACTCCACAGATCACACGCCGACAGGTACAGAAGCCTTAACCCTGGGGCCTTGCAATGTGGACAGATAGTCACCTGGCATCGCTGAACTCAATGGGCAGGATCCTCCAAGTCTCCATTGACATTAGAGATACCTACAGCACTGGGACCTGTCAATTACTGCATAATTACAGGCTCTGTTGTCCCAGGGGTACTTAATTGCTCTCTGCAATGGGGTGAGATTTATTAGACTCCTATTCACTACTTGAACTTGACCTTTATTGCCATATATAACTGGTACATGTACTGGTACGATGGAATTCTTACTTACAGAAAGTAAGATTGTTAAAAAAAGTGTAAAACACAAAGTGCAGACAGTGCATAAAGACAATATACAAACAAACAGTAGATATTGTACAAGTAAACAGTTTGAATGTAAACAATGCAGACATGTAAACAATGACTACAGATGTGCAATAAATAAAATTACAATGAGGTAGATGGTGTAGGTGTGGTCAGATGGGCATAGCCAAATGTGTTCGCCAATCGCACTGCTTGTGGGTAGAAGCTATTGAGGAATCTGGTGGTAAGTGTCCGTAAGCTCTTGTATCTCTTGCCTGAGGGCAGTGGGGTGAAGAGCTCATACACCATGGGTGGTGACTGTCCTCTGTGATGGCCAGAATTCTACCACGGTAGCGGTCCTCATAGAGCTGTTTAATCTCGGTGAGACCACAGCCGATGATCTTCTGGGACACATTCATCGTTCACTGCAGTGCCTTTCTCTCTCGAGAAGAGGTGCTGCCGTACCACATGGTGATCCCTTTGGTGAGGACGCTCTCGATGGTGCAGCAGTAGAAATTCACCGGCATCCCCCATCGCTTGAGGCACCTAAGGAAATAGAGAACCAATAAAAACAGAACACGTGTACCGTAATGTATAATGCAATTATTTTACAGTACCGTGTGTTGTAATAAATGTAATTTGAAATAGATCAATATTACCATGATAACTAATAAATATATCCATAAAAAATCACTTTAAAGACAGTTGCATCTCCTTCTTTTAACAGAGTCCTTCACATAGGGGAGAAAATTGACTCCTTACAATTAAATAAAATGTTAAGCAGTCCTCATATTACGGAGAAGGGCAAGATTTATTTTCTCGTGACTGCACAAAATCACATGTTTTACGTCCTTAAGCTAAGCAACAATCGGGGTGGACACTTTCCAAGAACAGCGGCATAACCAGCAGTGAGTACCAACTCTTATCTCAGGAGGTCGAACAGATGCAGGAGTCTCCGCACCGCACGCATCCTGACCCGGAAGTATTTCCGCCGGAAGTTAAGGCATCAGCTGATCGCGCTGTCGCTAATGGAAGTTGCTGTTGTTGTTTTACCAGCGCAAAGAAAGAGCCGAGCAAGGAAATCTGCTGTAACAGGTCAGCACAGCCCGGGATTGCTGGAGCAGGATTTTAAAAGTTAACGTTGTACATAACTCACATACACCAGAAAGAAAAAAAATATTTATTATATATAGCTGTAGGTCATTTTTGCTTTTACTTTGTGTTGTGCCAGAAGAGAGCAGTATTTGTATAGAATTGAAAGATTTTTTTTTTTAATTTATTACAGAAGAACGATTGAATGTGACTTTATGCCCAGGGTAAGGGTACTGGAAACGGGTGTAGTCTTAACTGGAGAGCGTCGTGTCAGCCCGGCTCTCCCAGTATGTTTGTTTAACAGCAGGGCACTGCCGGTACGCAAGACTGAGAACAAACAGCTATTTCGTAACATACCGAACTCCTCTAAAATAATCCGTGAACATCACTGTACTGTAGCACTACATAAATAGACTAAAACCAATTTACGTTCTCTGTCCCCAAGTAAACATTTGTTTTACTAACCTAAAAAGAAGAGAATACTTTGCATTGTTTTAAAAAAACCGCGACCTACATTCCGAATCTACATCTTTGGAGATCCTTGGCGTTTTATTTTAATCTCACGCGTTAAAGAAAGCTGTTGATTTAAGCGAAAGCTTTCTCGAGCACCCTCAAAATCCCAGGATCGTACAAAGGTGGCGAGCCGGACCGATACCCCAGCTGCCCCCTCGCCAATGCTGGATCTGGAAGTCGTTCCTGAGAGATCCCTGGGAAATGAACAATGGGAATTCGCGCTAGGTAAGCGCTCCGAGATGTTGTTGTGACGACCAATGTACAGCTCAGGATTTCTAAAACATTCTAATTACTTCAGAACTGCAGACTACCTAGCCCAGTAGCTACCCTCCAATGGTGCGTGGGTTCTGTTATCACGCCGCCACTTGCACACGAGTGTCTGTTGTGGGGGGGGGGGCTGTATATGGGACTTGTCACGAGGATCTTGTTGTAAGAGCTCACCTGGCTTTAATTAAAAATTGCTCACACCTGGAGGCAATCACTTGTTGCAGTCGAACAAGTGATCTGCGGAATTAAGAGATCTCTTGTCTTTCGTGGTCGAAGAGTACTTAGACGTTAGTCCTGAATTACTTCATTTAACAAATCACCTGTTTAATTGATCACAATGAATTGTTCCGTAGCTGTGGAAACCGGTGATTTGATTGTGTCCTGCAGAACCTGCTGCACTGGGGCTCCAGGTGTAAATATTGTTTGCCCAATTGTATACTTATCTGGGACTGAAGTTTACAAACACTCTTGTGTAATAAAATTGACTGTCGTTGTTTAAATCAATAGGAAAAAAGCTCTTGTGCTAACTTGATACTGTTCTATAATTGATTTATTTCCAAGGCCAGTTTCATGTTGAATGGTGCGAAAATAAATGTAACTTACATCTGTGCTAGGATGCAAGAACAGACTGTATATAGGTTTGTATGTAAAGGCCTGGGCTATTGGTTGTTTATTTCTGGAGTGGCCGTGTGTACAGTAGAATGCAATCTTGAGAGACCAGCTGTGTAAGAAACACTGGAGATCTGCTGTGTTCCCAAATGGGTGCACACCCTAAGCTCAATTTCCTGATTACATTCCCCCCGTTTCGAAACTCTCACACCTGTATCACAGGAATAACGCTGCAGCTAGGAGAGACCAGGACGCACAGCTTCTGTAGCTAGAACCGTACAGATCAGCATGAACATCATGCAGCTGGTTCTGGAGCCCTTCTTACTAGATGCACAAAACACCTTAGGTGAAATCTCTCCTGAGGTTTCTCCGTCAGTGTGTGAGTGTTCCAGTTGTTTAAGGACTGGACACATAGTGACAACAGCACCAACATTAATGAGAAATGGTGCATGATTAATATACAAGCTTGTTTAGCCTGGGTTGGATATCCCCCAAGCTCATGCACTGTTGGAGTTCCCTGTGCCCAACAGGGGGTCCCCCACACTTCTGTCCCAGGACCCCTTAATTTTCTCACTCACATCCCAGTGAGACCGAGCATGGAGGATTCATCGCAGAGACATCAGCTTTCCGGAAGGCAATGGAATGGAGATGGAGGACTGTGGTGTAGCTGTTTCCTCATCTTTGTGTATTTGTGAGCGTAACAGAGGCTCTCCTTCATTCTGTCGCTCCCCAGTGGGACTGCGTTGTGTAGTTTCGTTAAGGGAAAGACAGAGACGTCCCTGTGCTCAGTGGTCCAGCTGTGTGGGTGCCTGGCGTGACAAGAATGCGGCTAGGTCTACTTGCTCTGGTGTGCCTGCTGCTTCAAGCTGGGATTTATTGCTAGGGTGCTGTTCTTCTGATCAGGGTTTGTGAGTAGGCAAAGGACATGCAGCTGATGGGACTGTGGGGTTTCAGGAGGCACCTGCTGGTCTGCTGGAAGGGGGTGGGGGAGGTGTTGCTCTGAGACTGGGAGGAGATCACAGAGAAACTCCTGCTGTGTGTGTTGCAGGCATGCCGTTGGCCCAGGCCATTGCTATTCTGCAGAAGCACTGCCGGATCATCAAGAATGTTCAGGTTCTCTACAGCGAACAGGTGGGTACAGGGAGCAGGCACCTTGGCGCGCAAGTGATGAATAATAATAATCTAAAACAGACAAGTGCTTGCAGCCTTCTACTGCTGGATTGGTTTTTATGCTACAAAAGAAAGCCTAATTAGATGTGACACATCTCTTGACCAACTGTTAGAAGAAGCTAATAGCAGTATTCTCAGGAGTGTTTAATTTTGGTGATGCATAACTCAGTGCTGAAATTAATGATTCGGTTTCTTCCTATTGCAATTCCAGACTCCTCTGAACCATGACCTCATACTTAACTTAACTCAGGATGGAATTAAACTGCTGTTTGATGCTTGGAACCAGAGGCTGAAGGTGAGAGGGGGGGTTTTCTGGGTCTGTCTGCTCGCTTGCCTCGGTGTGTCCTGGGGCTTGATTTTTCATCCTTTCTGCTTGCTGACTTAGACATTTACTTAGGTCTGAATTTAAAACACCTGTCCTGGGTTCTAAAGTTTCTTGGTATTGTTTGAAAAATTTGTTTTGAAACATTTCTGTACCTCTGAATGACTAATTCTGCTTAATGTTTTAAATCAACAGATTTCCTGTTTTCTTAATAAAATAGCATGGTGCCTTTCCCTTTGCAACGTTTGTGGTTTGCTGTGTATGTTTTTTAAGTGGTAGTCTGTTTACATTTGTAATCCAGTGACTCTGTTTTGTCAGGTAATTGAAGTCTACGACTTGAGTAAAGTGAAGCTGAAGTACTGGTGAGTGCGTTCCTTCATCTCTCTGATTGTGTTACGCGCTGGTTCAGAGACTGCAGTCTGCGAGTCAGGAAGGTGCCAGTGATTCTCAGATTGGTTCATCTGTAGCGATTACTGGTTTGTCAAGCAGTAAACCTGTATTTCAGATGGAACTGGCAGCATTCTCAGGAGGTAAATGGTTTTGGTTTCACAAGCACCTGCAGAGTCCTGAGCTGTTATTTAGCTGTACCTGTGCCGCCAGCCCGTCGCCTTCAGCTGTGACTCCCCCGGCCCCCCAGCCCGCTGCTCTGTCACTGTGGCCGTCTCGGTGGCGATCCTGATGGACTCTGTGCTCCTCTCTCTCCCTTCAGTGGCGTCCATTTCAACTCTCAGGCCATCGCGCCCACCATCGAGCAGATCGACCAGTCCTTCGGCGCAACCCACCCAGGAGGTAGGAGGAGGGCTGTTTTCTTCTTTCTGTCGCTGTCCAGACTTAAAACCTCTTTGTGTGCTGCAGACTGCTGAGCATTTTGAAAATAGATTTTTTTAGTCGTCTGTCAGTGCAGCCATAGGTTAATGCTTTGTTCAGGACTTGCAGTAAACATGACTGTTTCAGTCTGGTGGTGGTGTTGTTGGGGGGTGGGGGACACTGGAATTGGGGTTAGAGGTCGAGCACAGCAGACATTAGCTGGTGGCGCCTTGATTTCTATGACAATTTCCTCCTTCCGGAATGGCAGCTCAGTGGCATTTGCTGTTTCTCAGTTTACAATGCGGCCGAGCAGCTCTTCCACCTGAACTTCCGAGGACTGTCCTTCTGCTTCCAGCTGGACGCCTGGAGTGAAGCTCCGAAGTATGAGGTGAGGCTGCAGCTCGGTACAGCCCAGGACGGGTTGGACGGGGCCGGTCCTGGTTCTGTGGTTTTGTAAATGTTTTTTGGACATCAGAGCCGCACGGGTGGTCCTACTGAGTTATGTAAAGGAAATGGATCGTCACAGCTGTATACAGCACCAGCACAGTCTCAAAACTCTAGTCTAAGCCAATCATTCCTGCACCAGCAGTTAAAACTGGATGCTCTTATTTCATTTATTGGCCATAGTATGTGCCTAAAGATTCTTGGTGCTCTTTTTCAGGAAAGCACATTGTATGTTTGCGTTGCAGCAGATGGAATCATTCCATCGATTTTGTTTTTTAATCAAGGGAAGAAAAGTTTGATTAATATTTTGATGTCTGTTTCTTTTGTTAAAACCTGCTATCCCAGCAGTTCCTGAGAAGGGCGTCCCCCTGTCTTCTGTACATTTAGTGCATGGAAACGGGTGGGTGTGTGTCAGTGAAAAATCTGACACGCACATACCCACCTAGCCATAGTTATTTTGCTTTTAACAGCCTAATTTTGCCCATGGCTTGGCCTCCCTGCAGATCCCTCACGGTGCCACAGTGAAACGCATGCACATCTACACGGGGAACAGCCTGCAGGACACCAAGTAAGAGCGTGTGGCTGTGGGAGCAGGTGCTTTCAGGTGATGCACACCTGAGCACCTGTCGCTGCAGGGTCAGGTGTGCATTTCCTCCTCCGCTGAGGCCAGGCACAGGCAGAGTAGCGCCGTGTGTCTGAGCAGCTGGAAGGAGAGCAGCTTTTGCTTCTGTGATGGTGTGATTTAAATGCATTTCGATAGCAGCACCTGGGCTCAGAAATAGTCTCAATGTTCTGTTTTTTAATGTAATAGGTAAAAATATGTTCCAAGTAAAATATTTCAATTTTAGGAAGCCATGTTAATTAGCTGAGAGAGGGGCGGTTGCTTTGAAAATGATGCAATGTGATTGTGCCAGTATCCTTGAAAGCAAAAGCCAGCATCTCGTGCGCTTGGGTGCTTGTGAACTGCAGTATCTCGCGCTGCGTGCACTTTGGCTTTGTATGTGTTTGGGGATGCAGCGCGTCGGAGGCTACATGCTGCATGTGTCACGTGTTTGTAATCATGTGCTGGAGCACATATGGAATAACGCTTCTGACTGAGAAAAGCTCTGACAACCTCTCAGCTCCAGTCTTACCAGACCAGCTGTGCCTGTCCTGCTGACCAGTACCCTCTAGAGAGCACGTCTAGGAGGTGATGAGACTGTGAAGATTTCTTTATGAAGCCCTGAGCCTCGGGGATTTGTCTGGGAACTAGTCCTGTTCTTAAACACCTGGGTTTTTATAAAGAAAGCCAAACGCCTTTCGCCTTGCAGTGCATTAACACCTGCAGACAAAGTCTTGCACAATCGTAGTGCATAAATCAAGGTGCAAACTTTGTTTCCTAGCAAGACAGACGTGTGATTTTAGAAATTTACAGTCAGTGGAGATTTTTAGCTGTCAGTCTGTTACTCCATGGAGGTTTCTACCTGTTTATTCATCATATTACATCATGATTTTGATACCTGCTTATTTATTCAACAGGGGAGCTTAAGCTTGATCCTGGAGGAGCCCTCCTTGTGTTTTTCCTTAACTGGAAACTTGTAAGCAGGAATCTTCACAGTCTTGTTTCAGCTTTAAGCAGTTAAGAGGTGCTGCTTGAGTATAAGATTACAGAAAGTGAGATATAAAGCCAAATGTCGCAGGAGGTCACTCGTGGTCAGGGCTGGAAACTTTTCTCTGTGAGGCTGAATTTTCATATCTGCGCAGGGCGTTTGTGTGTGTGTTTACAGAGCTGATTTACATCTGTGTGTTCTGTTCCAGGGCCCCAGTGATGCCTCTGGCCTGTTACCTTGGGAACGTGTACGCAGAATGTGTGGATGTGCTGAGGGACCGGGCGGGGCCGCTGGGTTTGAGACTCCGCCTCCTCACTGCAGGTATGGCTCTCCTGGTCCTGGCTGGGCTGTCAGCAATAAACCGTCTGGTTCCTGTCTGCTTTTGTCTGCCCTTCGCTGCCCTTCGCTGGCTGTCTGTGGTACAGATCGCTGAGACCATAGCCGTTCACAGAGAAGTTAACGAACACGAGGCAATTTCATGTTGAATAGAAGGCTTAAGAGTGGTGGTGGTTAACTTGTGCTCTTAAGTTTTCAAAATCTCTTTTTGCACTGCTGATCAAGGTCACTTCTTTAAACCTGAGATACATCATAACTATAGAATGAAAGCAGTAGAATTTTATATGTATTTGAATGTTGCACTACAATTTAGAATCCATGAATAATTACACACTTTTTTAAGATGACCTTAAAATACTTAGGTATGGTGAAACAAAGTAGTTGTATTAACTAGCCTGTGATTTATTTGTGTTTTCAGTGATTTACCTTTTAAAAAAATCCGTCACGTCTGTCACCCCCAGAAAGGGCTTTTTGTGCCCCCAATGTGGGGGTGTGCCCCGGGTTATGAACCACAGCTTTTGAGTGATTAGTAAAGATTCATAAAGACAGACATGTCATAGACTGTACCTCTGGTCATGGGGCTTCACCTGTTAAAAACTTTGATCATGTTTGCACTTGTACGCTGGGGAGTCTTTCTCTTCTCTGCTCTAGTGATTGTGATTTTTAAAAGAAGCCAGTTAACTACGTGATGTTTCAGAGGATTTTTACAGGAAGAGCCGATCCTCAGAGAGCGTCCTGCTAAATCAAGCTGAATCCCGAGATCTTCCCCAGTTGCACAGCCCTTGTCTGGTCTGTGTCTGAGGCAGAAGTAGCCGGCCGGGCCGGGCCGGGCTGGGGTTGGGGTGGCTCCTGCCAGCGCTCAGCACTCAGTGCGAGTCCGTGTCTCCCCGGCAGGCTGTGGGCCGGGCGTGATGGCCGATGCCAAGGTGCGGGTCCTGGAGCGGAACATCTTCTTCGGAGACTCCTGCCAGGACGTGCTGAGCGCCCTGGGGTCCCCTCACAAGGTCTTCTACAAGTCGGAGGACAAGGTGCGGCCTTCTCTCTCTCTCTACCGCCTCATCATCTCCTCCCTGCGGCTTAACTCTCCGCTCTGTCGGTGTCTGAGCTGCTGGAGGGGTTTCAGCTCATTTCACTGTCGGAAACCCCAGCACAGCTTATCTCTGGCACGGCTGCCTCTGACCCATCTCCAGACTCAAGTTACTGATGTGGGGCCTGTGGGTACAGCTCCCCAGTTTACTGTTGAGGTCCCCAACCTGTGAGCGGAAGGGATCGCTATCAGCTCTTTCTCAAGATCTCATCTGCTCTCCTCTACCGTCCGTTGGCACCCCAGCGGTTGACTGTGAGGCTTGTGCCAGAGCTGCGTGGCTGACCTGGAGGGGCTCAGCACAGACTGACGAAATCTCATTCATAGAGGATTTCTCACACAGTGGCTTGAGCTTCCTGCTCTAGTCGCCATTACTGGGGCTGGGACACTGGGGATTTGCGCTCTGGTTCTAATTCTGTGCCTCTCTGTCTCTGTTCCAGATGAAGATTCACTCTCCCTCTCCACATAAGCAGGTTCCCTCCAAATGCAATGACTACTTCTTCAATTACTTCACACTGGGAGTGGTACGGCCTTCCTGTCGCTGGGCTGGGCGTTCAGCTACTCAATGAGAACTGTAACACTTTCAGAACGCAGACCCAGGTCTGCTGAGCTGTGGTTACTTTTACTTATGGGTTAGGGCTACATTTTGGGGCATGGGCTGTGCATTTGTGCATTAGGGTAGGACTAGTCTGGATTTGTGATGGGTTTAGGCTAATGGTAATGGTTAAGGAGTTGGTTATGGTTCAGTGTTAGGCTTAATTTCATGGAAAGGCTAGTGTTCAAATGCAGTAAGGGGCAAGGTGCTAGGTGTAGGTTAGGACTCAGCTTTGGTTAGTGTTAGTCTTTGGGCTAGGGTGTAAGGCGCTTGGTTTGTTTTGGGTAAGGGTTCTGCAGATCCTAGTTCAAAATGTCACATCTCCTTTTCTGTTTTTCTGTTGCAGGATATTCTGTTCGATGCCACTACTCACCTGGTGAAGAAGTTTGTTCTTCACACAAATTACCCCGGTCATTATAATTTCAATATGTGAGTCTCTCTTTAGATGACTACTCAAGTTTAAAAAGATTAATATTGAACATGACTTGGTGTAATGATGTGTTTGTTTCTTTATTTCTCTTTAGTTATCATCGATGTGATTTCAGGATCCCCCTTGTTATCAAAAAAGGTCAGTATTCTCTCAGCTTCCCTGTCTGTTTCCTCTACTCCCCTCTCTTTCAGCTGTTCCTGTCTTTTCTCATTTTCACAGATGAAAAAAACCCACATAATTAGCTGCCTCAGCTGTTTTGGTCAGTAGTGGTATCTTAAATACGTTTCTCATCTAATCAATGAAGTCAGTGCTTTGACTCTTGTGTTACTGGTTGTCAGCCTGTTCTAATTACCTGTCTGCTCACAGGCTGCCCCCTCACTGAGCAGTATCTTCTCAAATGGATCTTGATTTTTCTTTTGCAGAACATGCCAACTCTCAGACTGAAGACTGCACTTTAACATCCTACAGCAAGGTGAGGCATGCCGAAAGGCCAAGACCACACCTGCCCTGCCCATCTCTGCTTTTCATGCTGAGCAGGAGTTCCACACATATAAAGAGACAGCAATCCAATGTCCTAGTGAAGTTTTATTCTCTTAGCTTTCTCCCAGATCTCCATTTCTTATCTTTAACAGTGCATCCTGAAACAGATTTTACAACACAGTGCTTTAGTACGAAGTGGCTCGAGGGCTAAGGGTTATCTGTGTTGGACTGGTGTTACACCCACAAGAATGCTCTTGTCTTCTCCTGTCTCAGATCTGCCTAGATTAACTCCTCAGCCTGTGAGCTGAGCTGCAGTCACACAGGACATGAGCTTTGACCTGACAGGGTTGTATTTCAATACAGACTGAATGCACCTGCACCAGGTTGTCTTCAGTTTTCTCCGTGGGGTGGGAACATGTGCACAGCTGCCTTTCCTGACAGTGTGCTGGGCTCTGATGAAGGTCGTGGCCTGTCAGATGTCATATAGAATGTCTCCTTTGCCTGTTCTAGATTTTGCCATTACTTCTGTAAGTAAATGAGTGGATAAAATAAGGGAGTTGTAGAAAAAGCTCCTGTACTGCATAAGTTCCCGTAAATGTATCACCCACGATAAATTGGGTGTCCTCTCTTGTCCTCTGTTCTAGTGGGACCAGATTCAGGATTTTCTCGGTCACCCAGTGGAAAAGCCAGTGGTTCTTCACAGGTGAGAAACCGACTCCAGCTGGGAAGGAGCTCTGATGTACTGTATCGTGAGTCTGGGGATGTCTTTGACTGGATGGATGGATGTTTGCCTGTTACGCCTTCTGGCATGTAGGGGTATCAGTTTTTTACGGGACAGGGTTGTTAGCCTTGTGCCCAGCCTCCAACATGGAGGACCTGGTGCCCAACGTGGGACACGAACCCACTACCCTGAGATTAGAGTCTCATGCTCTACCAACAGAGCTAGTCGGGGCCTTTTTTTGACTGTATGGAATTAGAATAATAATTTCCAGGATGTAAAAAGGCACTGATGTGAAATGTCCTGACTGAAGAGAAACTTTAGAAGAGACTTGTGTAGGTTAAAATTTGAAATGTGATTGTTCTGTGTTTGAAGCGAGAGAAGCCTGGGGCAGGACAGAGAGGGGTACTGGGTGTGGGGAGGCTGAGCAGTGTGAACAAGGGCAAGCTTGGGAACTGTCACACTGACCCTTGTGCTGCTGTGGAAGGGATCAGCTCATTGTATGTGACTCTTCACAGTTACCATTATTCTGCAGGTCATCTTCTGCAAACAACACCAACCCATTTGGATCCACATTTTGCTTCGGACTTCAGAGAATGATTTTCGAGGTACGTGAAAATCAGGAGTAAAGCACTGGAAGGGTGGAGCTGTAAATCTCTGTTTTTGGGGTTTTGAAGGAGAAACCAGACAGAGAAGATTGACAACATTTCAGTTTTCTGTAGCGCTGCCAGCGTCTGCCTCCAATAGTCAGTGATAATAATAATTGCTTACACTTATATAGCGCTTTTCTTGACACTCCACTCAAAGTACTTTACATGCTTTAATGGGGATCCCCTCCACCACCACCAATGTGCAGCCCCACTTGGATGATGCGACAGCAGCCAGAACACTCACCACACATCAGCTCTCCGTGGGGAAGAGAGCAGAGTGATGAAGCCAGTTCATAGATGAGGATTATTAGGAGATTGGTAAGGGCCAATGGAAAATTTGGCCAGGACAAGAGTAGTCTTTTCGAGTCCTACTCTTTTCGAGAAACGGTTTTATGTTTCATCCGAAGGACAGCGCCTGTTTACAGTATAGTGTCCCTGTCACTATACTGGGGCATTAGGACCCACACAGACTACAGGGTGAGCGCCCCCTGCTGGCCCCACTAACACCTCTTCCAGCAGCAACCTCAGTTTTTCCCCGGAGGTCTTCCATCCAGGTACTGACCAGGCTCAGACCTGCTTAGCTTCAGTGGGTTGCCAGTTGTGAGTTGTAGAGTGATATGGCTGCTATTTCAGTGTAGCTTATGTGAACAGCTATATCTTACACCTGTATCTCAATGCACAGTCAGCTAAATATTCCCAATCAATAAAAACTTCTTGCATTTATAGTGCTTCACATCCACCACTGAAGAGTAACACCCACCAGGGTGATGGGAGTAGCCATTCTGCACCGGCAGCCCACTGAAGAACAGATCAGGTGGAGGAGTAATACCATGCTTCACAAGTTGAACTAAGGGGGAGTCTAAAGTGGAGTTTAGCATGTATATGGGGATTAGCACCTCTACTCCTACAAATAGTGCCCTGTAACATCTAATAAGCATGTTGTCGGGATCTCCTCCAAAGACCAGTAACCCTTATGCACAGTATCTCCCATCACCATACAGGCTACTTAATAACTCCTGACCAGGCCCAGCCTTAGCTTCTCATTGAGGCCAGATAGTGGTGTTAATGCTGCAGCCATTGTCATGCAGCTGTGCATAGGACATTTTGGATTGTGCGTCATGCAGGGCCTGATTCATACGTTCGCGGAGCTATCTCGTGTCCGTGCCGTGGGCACAGGTGTATTGTGGGAACACCTTGACAGTTGAGGTTTAAGGCCAGTGTACGTGCAGCACCAGTCTGTGACCAGTAACAGTGCCCTTCCTGTTTTTTTTTTCCAGGTCATGCAAAACAACCACATAGCGTCTGTGACCCTGTACGGCCCATGCAAGCCCAGCAGCCACGCCCGGGCCGCAGAGCCCCTGGCCCACTGAGAGCTGCAGCAACACTGCCATCCACCTGGAGCACTACAGATCTAGAGCAGTACAGCGTGCCTTCAATTGCTGCCACTATCATATGAGAAAGCATGACACGAGTCCTCTCACTTTTCATTGCCGCCTTTGTGACGGGCGCCTGGCAGAGTCCGATGGTAACGTTTCTCCCCCCTCCCCGACACCTCTCGCCCTCTGGGGGGAGTCGGGCAGAGGTTGGGGTGGGGAGCCATCTGTCCATGGTGCCTCCTGTTGTCTCGTTAACACGCGAATCCCCGCAGCACAGATTTCCGAACATGTCCACAAGGGAAAAAAAGACAGAGAGACGCAGACATACATTCGCACGTAAGTTGCACATACCGAATAGTTCTCGTGAAGGTGGAGAAAGAGAGCTGAGGGAGATACAAGCACAAATGCGCTGCACTGCGCCGCGGCGATCCTGCCGGCCTGTCTGGGGGTGTAGATGAGCAGTGTGTGTGCGTGACTTCCTGAGCACGAGGCACCGCACTTCACACAAAGCTCAGCCGGCTCTGTAGTCCTCCAGGGACCAGCTGAGTCTACACACCAGAGAGGGTCTGCTCTTCACAGGCATTTTTTTAATTCAAGCTGTAGCATGCATTCTTTTCTTTTTAAAAAAAAACAAAACTTTGGTTTTAACATTTGCACTAAATACACCGTTACTTGAGAACTGTCTGCCGTTCACCGAGGAGAATCTGTTTCTTGGTTTTTTCAGAGAGGGGGTGTGGCGGGTGTGAGCTCGCTGTGTTTTGTCGTCAGCTGTCCTTGTGCACAGTAATACCCTGGGCAGTGTCACTGCCGCTGTACGGTTTACTTTGAACCTTTTTTTTTTAATGCCAAACTTTTAGCCAAAGATGCTTCATCTCTTATCCCACTTGGCTCTGACCCCAATGGGAATGAACATTTGTTTTAAAACATTAAGAATGTTTTCTTTCTGTCCTTCTAGTAGGATTTTCTTTTATTCCATCCCCCCTCTGCTAGCTAGTATCATAGTCTTTTATCTCTCTCATTTTTTAACAGTTATCACCACCTCATTTGTTTTAAATGAAAAAAACTTTCATCTCATTTTAAATCGAATTAATAGTAGCATCTAATATGAACTACGCGCAGCCACGATTGCGTTTTTAAATGCGTGTACAGATTTGTAAATACAGCATTTTTTGTAATTTTAATGAACTGTACAATGTAGGCCTGCATTGTTTCACTGAAGTACACAAACATCAAATACATCTGGAATCGACTCAGAACCAGTACAGTATTTGCAAATTTGTGATGAGTGTTATTTGTATGAATAACCATGTGGTCTTCCCTCCTGCTCTGATATTCTAAGCTGTTTTGAACTCAGACCTTGCAGTTGTAGTGTGACACAAGTTTACCTGACTGTTCTTTGCTGTTACATTTTGTTGTTCTAATTGAAACCTGTGCTGTTTTCCTTGTATCAGTGCTTGCCGCAAGACATTTGTGCCTCTTACTTTCTTGCATAGCCTGTTTTAATTTTTTATTCAGATTAAAATGCATTAAGAGCATGTATTTTGAAATGTTAACATGTCCGGTTGTAAGTAATAGTTTATTTGTGCTCAGAAGAAAAAGAACAGACTAAGTGAAATAAAATCTGAAGAGGAGGTGCTGAAGCGTGCTGTGATACCTGCCTGTTCAGCCACACCTGGAGGGCTTGAGTGTGCGTGGGTTTTAAGGATGCCCGGGTAAATGAACTCTGCTGGGAATGAACGACCCATTTCAGTGACTTTTAGACACGGCGGTGCCCTGTCCTACCAGGAGCTGAGCTGTGGCTGCTTTCCTCCTCTTCTGCATCTCAACAATGTCTGTCTAAGGACTGGAGTCCTTGGATTGTACTTGGAAATGAAAGGCTTGGTGGGAGCACAGGTGTATCTCAAGTGCAATATTGATGTGAATGCTATGTTCACAATAGTATGCATTTTTACATTTGGGGAATACTTGGGGATTTGCTACCCTCACCTATTTCAGAGAAGGGATATCCTTATTAAGGATTGTGAACATATATTAAGGAATGTGGCGTTTGTATTAAAGGCTTGCTGAATGAGAAGAGCGCTAATTCATTCTGCTGATCCTGTCAGCATTATTTAAAAATTGCAGCCCAGTGGGACAGCGATCACCGCCACTGGCGCAGCAATAAACACACCCGCAGGTCCTGACGTGTGCCCACCAGGTCTCGGCCACGTCGCAGCTCGTGTCTTTATCAAGAGCGCCCGCTTCGCTTGTATCCCAACGGCCCACTGCAGGCTGCAGCTGACAAACGCAACGTTGGATGTAATAAATGTGAAGACAAAACCCAAAACATGAAGTAATGTTGGAATTCTTTTTAAGTGGAAATTTGTTATTCAACTGTATATGGGCATCTTGGCAATAGTTTAAAAACCCTTTGCTTGTTTTTACTGCTGTTAATTTAAGGAAATTTAGTAAGATCTAAGTAAAATAAAATGTAGTGGTAACAATCACCTATAAAATAAACCAAGCACCAGATCCACGGTCATTAATGAACAATTAACAATTGCTTCTTAGTTACTGACATTGATTGTGAAAGTGTTAACTGTTAAGGCATTTGTGAAACAGAATAATTATTTTGTTAAAATCTGTCTCTCTTGCATTGATTTAAAAATGTCTCTACTCGTTGTACTGTGGCTTTGCAGCCATGCCACTGAAAACTGATCACCAATTAGAAGAAGCTGGAGTTCCCTGGCCTTCTGCATTGTGTGTCCTCATGTGGAGCCCCCTGGCCTGGGGGTCCTCATCTTCCTTTGCCACCTGAACGGCCTGTTGGGAGCCACCCTGGCGCTGCACTGAAGCTCTGGGTCGTGCAGCAGGTTCCACATGAGCCAGATCTGCGGCACAGTGAGGCTGTGGACCACCATCAGGTCCCTGTAGAAGCAGGGGTCGAACACTTGGAGGTGGGGGGCGGCCGAGGGCTTCACGATGCCGAACGTGCGGAAGCCCCTGTGGGGCTCCGGCTTCAGGCCGATCCGCAGCAGGCACATCCCCATGAACACGTCGTCGATGGGGAACAGCTCCACCTCCTTGCAGGCCCTGTAGAGTCTCCGGGCCGTGAATCCAGACATGACGAAGCCTCCTCCTCCGGCGTACGCTGGGTAGACACCCTGGCCGTAAATGATCTCGGGGATGAAGTACTTGCTGGTTTTGGAGCGTATGGGCTGGGCGTGGTAGATAATGTCCCCGATGAAGACATCCTGGGTGGCCTCCGTGTCCCGCAGGAGCTCCACGATGTTGTCCACGTTGACGTACACGTCCGCGTCGCCCTTGAAGATGAACTTCACGCTGGGGCAGAAGGCATCCACCCACTTGAGGAAGTGAATCTCCTTCAGCGTGAGGTTGAAGAAGGTGTCCGCAAAGTCCCACAGCAGGATGTCTCGGAACGCGCGGCTCTCGTACTGCAGCAGGCGTTCCCACAGCGGGAGGGCCGTCCGGTTCTTGGGGACACCCAGCAGGAAGACGGTCCTGACCACGGCCCCGCCCAAGACGCCCTCCTTCCCCCAGGTGTGGCGGACAACCTGCCGCTTGTCGAACTCGTCCGCCAGGGTCTTGACGGCAATGAGCAGGAAGGGGTGGCCGGAGCACTTTCCGGGCTGGTTGAGCAGCAGCTGGAAGTCCCTGCAGTCCTTATTCCTCAAGTAGAGCTGGAAGTCAAACGGAGGGCGGGTGAGCAGCACGGGCCCGGTTGGGCCGGTGCTCCTCTCCTCCTCTGCGGCGGGCTGGCACTCCAGTCTGTCGGGAAGCGGAGGGCTAGCCTGGCCTGCTGTCTGGCCTTCAGCCAGGGAGCCTAACAGGGCCCTGGAGCTCGGCATCGTCTTCGCAGGGTGCCAAATTCCCCAGGTTGCCGTGAAGTCAAACTGGGAGTACAGGACGATGCCAAACAGAAGGAGAAGGAAGACTGTGCAGATCACATCTCCCTTCAGCCGGACTTTCATGGTGGCCAGGTGAGAGAGTTTATAGCAGAGGTTTTGACGCACCTTAGTTATGGTCTGACAGGGCTCCTGTTGACAGGCAGGACCTTGGTCCTAAAAGCCAAACAGTCAAATGCGCAGAGCCATCTCTGCATTTGTAGTCCTGCTTCCTGTCTCAGGGCCCCTGAACGGACTGTGTAGTCCCCGGCTCTCTCGGACCGCAGGGCTGCAGCATTGGGGAAGGCAGCACAGGCTGTGCCTCACTGCGAGAGGTCACAAACCTTCATACTCCAGCTGTTTGGGAAGAGACAGAATTAATATACAGTACACAAGCAAGGGGAACTATAAGTCTCTAGGGGGTGGAATTTTTTTTAAGATGACTGGGGTAGGAGACTATATGAAGAAGCCAAAAACACATCTGGCTTCTTGAAATCCATTCTTGATCTCATGTGTGACAGACTTGATTCTGCTCTTTTAAAATGCTCTTGACTTTAGAAGACTAGTTAAAAGTTAGTGCCTTTAAACCTTTCTTATATTTCAGAGCTGGCTGAGAAAGAGAAAGGTATGTTAGTGCTGAGATCTGACCACAACAAGCCTGGATCTGAGACTGCAGGTCTCTCTGATTTTGCAAAGGAGAGTGTGTAATGTCACTGTTACGGCCGAAAGGAGGCCTGCAGAATGATTTGTTACTTCGGGTGCGAAGAGTCAGAGGGTCAGTTCAGAAGTGCAGGAGGAGAGCTGGGGTGGACAGAAGTGCTGGAGTGTACAGGCTGGAGAAGGGCTAGGGACAGAGGCGCTGCAGTGGACAGGCTGGAAAAGAGCCGGGGACAGAGGTTCTGGGGTGGACAGGCTGGAGAAGAGCCGGGGACAGAGGCACTGGAGTGGACAGGCTGGAGAAGAGCCTGGGACAGAGGCGCTGGGGTGG